TCAAAAAATTATTTTAGGTTATAAAAATAAAAACAATGAAACTGCAGTAAGTCATCTAAGAGAAAAACTCTGTACAAACATGAAGCTTTTATTGCCTTTGCAACTAAAGCAAGTTTTTAGCATTCAGCCAGCATAAGAGAGACTTATGACAGAAATTAATACGCTACTGAAATATACTCAGGACCACAAAAAAGTCTGTCAGATTCAGAAACCACCTTGTCTCCAAATGTGCAAATATCTTACTGAAGCTACTTCATGTTTTGATTCTTCTGAACAAACTGTGAAAAAGTCATTTCCTACCTACAAAAAAAGAATAAATTTTAGTTCTAGGCTTTAGGCAGCCAAGGCTCCTAAATTCTCATTATGGACTTGTGGATATTTCTTAGTGGAAGGCAAGTTTTTTGGAGTAGAGAAAGAAAAAAATAAGGTTTTCTAATGCGCTTTTACTTAAATCCTTCAAGGTAGAAGGAATTGCACATTTTTTAACCTTATTTCAGAAAGAAGAGAAAACCTGTACTTTTAAAGGAGGGAAACCCTGTGCCCTGAAAAATCTGCCAGTCAAAAATCTGGTAGGTGTTCACTCTGAAATACAATGAATCATTTCACTCACAAAAGAGTGTCAATAGCCATTGCAATTCACTTGTTGTCTTTAACAGCTTTGTTGATATTGCCTGACAACATACGTACAATTAAGGTTTTCTTCAGGAATGCCTACAGAAGAAGAATTTCAGTGTTTTATTAACAAAAGCTCACCACCAAAAATACTTGCATAGCCTATATCATTTGCATACTCAAGGAGGAGGAGGAACAGGATCCCACAGCGTATCCAAGCAACTGTACCTAAGAGGATACGGACCACAGCTACAAGTTATCCCTGAATATCTAGGAGGAAATTCCAGAGTGAGAATTTCATATCTTTGAACTGCAATATTCAACTCAAAAAGCAAATAAAACCAAGGGCTAAAACAACCAACTTGTTTTCTGTAAATTATCCCCTCTGTCCAGGTACTTTTCTCATATCTGCAGATCCCGGGGTAACACAGGTAAGGTGTTTTGTGAGTTAAGAGAAATTGATTGCTGCTCCCAAATAGTGAGTTTTTGTTCTTGAGATAGCAGTAAAGTCTTTCTAATATGGCAAAAGCTGGTATGTTCCATGCATGGAAATGATGAACCCCCCCTCACATCTTCACTGGCAGATTTTCTACACAACAAGCATCATGCTACCAACATCTCCCTGCAATGTCTCCTTAACTAACAAAATCAGTTTGCCATTTAGTCTAGTTTATTCTCTGATCTCCTGGACCAAACCCCGTCCTTGATGAAGACCAAAATAACCTGTGTTTAATGTCCCAACACCAACTATCATACTGTACTTTGTATGTATTTCAAAAACATTGTTTGTACTTCAAATTATTGAAGTAGTATTATTGTGATTACCCGACCTGGTCCATAAATTTTTTAACTGGCATATCATACTTACTGTGTTTTTGTAGTCCTCTATTAAATCCAATAGTTACCCTAAAGTAATCCAAAAGTTACCATAAAGAAAAACATAGCCAAAGATGGTTTGATTGCTCATCAATTGAAGAAATTGTACTTATTCTAGAGAAACAGTATTTGGCACCAAATCTGCCAGGACATCTCCCATGGAGTGCGGCTCAGGAAGGAGATCACTTTCTGGGCAGTAAATATACAAGTTTAAGAAGGCTTCAGAAAAGTAAACACTCCTGTGGCCTGTTTTTTTTAACTTGTCTTTACACATCAATTATTACTGTTCTTTGTTTTCCAATTCACTCATTTAGAATGGGTTAAGGTTTCAAATCACACGCTAATCTTTCTGAGAAGATATCAGAAAATAAGTTCTTAAAAGAAAAACAGAACTGTGCTCCTAAATCTAGAACAGACAACTGCACGTTGTGTTGACAACACTCGCTGCAGTTACTGAAAACAAACTGCAAAACTGGAATAGTTCACAAATCGCTTTTCTGTACTCTGCATTATCTTCTCTTCTTTGAAGCAATACAGTTTCTTATTCTGCATCTGTATTATCCACCCTATATATCTATTAAAATCAGAGCCTAATTATAGCAAAAGAATGGTTATTCCTCATTGGAGTAAGTGAGAATATAGTCTTGTTAACAATACATTGCTCACACAATGGGAAGTGTACCATGACATTCAAAGCCACTGATTTTACTTTTGTTTTCTAGATGAACAAAAAAACTAGTTTTTCATTAAAATGCACACTGGGGCATGAAAATATGTTGGTTTAAAATATATATTTTATATATTCTTTATATTCTATATATTCTTTAATAGAAATCACGATCCACAGCTGCCTGTGAGATCACAGCTGGTTACTGTGAGGATGCTGACAGTGCTGCAAATAGAGGATTATTACTCCAGTTGAGGGGAAAAAACTGCAGAGATAGATAAGCTGTAATAAGGGGCAAAAATCCTGTTATTTGTGAAAAAGCTGTAGAAAAAAAAACAAACTAGAAGAAAATAGGCTGCAGATAATACATACAGAGAGAATTGTTTAATCACACTGTTTTCTACAAGGCTCATGCAAACAAGAGTATCTGTATTATGTTAAAACATCTGGGGCTTTAGAGTTAGTGACAAAGGGTCAAACTCTCACTGTCATGGAAAAAACCTCTTACATTTCAGTTCATCCTGAAGGGTCTCAAGATTTCATGGCAAGAAATCACTTCTCAAGTTCAAAGAAAAATTAATTAGGTTTAAGGCCATGCTTAACACTGAGAACAAAATGTAACCATACCTATAATTCAGACTGTAACAGGATTTCTGCAAAAGAAACTTCTGGATAGATTTATCATTTAATTATCTGTCCTATTTCTCTATCTGTATTCACCATTTTATGTAAGTGTATGTAATCATAAAGAAAATCTTTGAAGGACTAATTTCTATCTTGCTCTATTACAGACAATGCTTGGAAAAATGCAACAAAATTTTTCTTACCCTCTTTGAGTAGAACAGAGTTATAGATCACCTGCACTGACTCCTGATTATATCATCCAATCTGATGATCCACCAATCTAGAGAGATTGTAAAGGTGGTATTTTAAATTCTCTGTCACTTCTGAGCAGATGATTATCACATAGAAGAACCTAAACTTCCCCAAGGGCAATGCAACAGATCATCTGCATCCATGGAATGCATCATTTTCCCTAGGGACACAGAGTGATTGATCGATTAACTGTAGTTATTAAACCAGAATATCCATCCTCTGCCTTGTCACATCTCATTTACAACCTGGTTGTTGTCATAGGCAAAGCCATTTTATATAAATCTTTGTTTCAAACATGTACTTTTCTTGTGGATGGGAGAATAAAAGCCAAAAGATAAATCACAGCAGCAGAATCTCAAGCTAAACAAATGAATTTTAGATGTAATTAACTGTGTTCATAGTATCAGTCACAAATTATATAGGTAATCATTGCTATTGAAATCAGTGACAGCAGAATGAAATCACCATTTTCTGGGAATGTGATAGCACAAAAGATCAAGCTATCTTCAACAATGTGTTGCAGTTGTGTTCTGCATGGCCACTAAACAGATGTTAACTCCCCATCAGTGCAGTGTGACCAGCCTGAGGTGTTGGTGCACTTCCTTCCTTTTAATAAATGTTCTGAGGCTGGAAGGATCAGTACCAATAACTATATTGAGAAGCAGCTAAAGAACAAACTTGTCTCTGCTCTTATTTCACTTCCATTGTTCCCATTTACCCAATTTCTGCTTTCTCCTGGGTTTCTTCCATCCATCACAATTCACTGCCTCTTGTCCCACTTTTTATACAAATCCTTACTTTAAAATTTCCTCCATGAAGCTCAGAAACAGAAATCCTTTTCAGCACACATTGCTACCATCCATAAACCGTTATTTGTGATAATTACTCAATAAAAGTTTCCTTTAGGTCTGTCATCAGGGTGTCATTCTCTTGTATTTGTGCTCTCTTCTGTTCATACATGAAGCTGGAGTCAAACTCACTTTTCATTCAATAAAACCAGTGAGAAATATTTCCTTGAACTTTTCAGATTGTTCAAGGTTTGATTGCTTTTTTTGTTGAACACAGCAATACCAGAAAAAGGTGGCCCCAAAACTCACTGAGGACTGAGAAATTTCGAATATTGTCAAATAACCTTTACATCAATCTCTGTTTAACTGGGCCTTCCTACCACAGGGTGCCTGAAGTGATTTGAATCTGCACCATGCGTTTGACAGGCTCACAAGATCTGTGAGACATCATGGAGGTGACATTTTTTAATGCATATTGTTTACTTTGAAATTTTGACAACAAATTCCAATGTCCCATGCTCATGTTCTAACTATCCTAACAGACAAAAATACACAAACTAATTTACACTGAATCTATGAGTTGGGAGTCCTTCCCCATGATGAGAGGCTGAGATTCTTTTTTGTGTCTATCAAATAAAATCACCCTTTTCACACAATTACGCATGTAAGAGTCAATGTGTGAATTACTACCAGCAGCCTAAAAAGTCTCAATTAGAAAGACAAGCCTCTTCTGCTGGCCATTAGTGGTGAGAGCATCATGGAAAAATGAAATTATTTGAAAGACTAGTATCAAACACAGTCCAGATACTTTAACATTAGTCAAAGCCCATATAAAGTAAACCTAAAATCCAAATTCATCATTACTTTACTTTACATTTGCTAACGTGGCAAAGCCCACTGTAACCACTCCTCCTTTCATTCAGAAAAAGGTGCTAAAATATATAAGTCTTAAAAAACCAAACACCTCACCTTATTTTCTGAGTCTTTATAAGCAGGTACAAACACTATTGGGGCAGAGAACTCTAGTTTTACATTCTGCCAGAATCACCAACCACTTCAAAACAAACTGAGTTTCCTTTTCCATCTGATCACAGGAAATAGTCCCACACAGGCCACATTACAATGTTCTCATCATACCATGATTTTTAAAAGAATTTAAAAATTGCAAACAACCAGAATTACCCAAACTGCATCATTGCTCCAGGACAGAGCCAGTTTATTTCAGCTTCACCAGCAGAATGTAGTAGCCTGAAAGAACAAGAAAATACTTTGTCTTTGAAATTTCCTTTTTCATTCAGGCTCAGAAAACAAAAACAAACAAAACCAGAAAATATTAAATATTCCAGACTATTTTACACAAGCTCCAAGCAATACTATAAGCAAAGAGTCTCTAGAGAGATTAGGATGCTTATACTAATTGTATTTAACACTTTAACGTTTTATAAATAAGCCATGGGGCAACTGAATCATCTTGTGAAATTACAGTGCTTAGGAAAAATTCCCAAAAGAATAAACATTTGAGTTTGGCAAGTCCTTTACTTGCATTGCCTGAGGCACCAGTAGGTTTATCCTTCACATGGCTGGAGTTGGGATTTCTCAATATCCTGTAAAGCACATGATGCCCTTCAAGAAACAAAAATCAATCTATTCTTGTAAATTTGTCTAATACAAAAAAATAAAATTAAAAAGACATTTTCTTCTTCTTTTGAAATTGTAGGGAATAAAATTGGTGGTTCACCCTGTTTAGATTGGGGTAAAAATCCAGGCTATGAGAGAGGGGGTGGCTGAGTGAAAATCCATATTAACTTACAGACTTGTTTCACCTTTGTGGACAGAAATCTTTTAGGTGAAGCAGAGCTTTATCAAGGAAGAGAATATTAACCAAGGGGAAAGATTAAAACAGAATTATGCAAATAAGATGGCAAACAGTTTCTTTGGAACTAGAAGAAAGAGGTCTCAGAAACAGTAATCAGACAAAACAAGGAACATTAGCAAGTAAGCATAAAGCTTATTATCACCCACAACCTACAGCCTGTAAGTGTCTGGTAAGGAGAGAATGAGTTAAAGATATATGGTTGATGAAGGATTTGGAACAGAACAAGCTATGTCTTCATCACCAGTCTGGAAACTTGCAATTAAGGGGATCTTTTCCCTGGAAAGATCAAATAAAGATTTTATTTTTATCATATTCCATTTTGTGAGAGAACAAAACGATTAACAGTTGGGCAGAACAGTTACACAGCTTCTTCATTGACCAGATGAATACCCTGGAGCAAGTAATATCATCTGTGCACTTATCAGTAAACAAAATAGTTTATTGCAAGTCCCTTGAAGCAGAGGCTGTGCTGTGTGTGCCTGGACAGCAGTCTCACACTGTAATGTGGTTCACCAGTAGCAGTAAAGACAGAACATGGAAACTGACTGTGAGGCCAAGGCTTTCAAATCACTCCAGCAGTGAAAGGTCACAATTTTAGCAGATCTCTTTCTTTTTTTTTTTTTTTTTTCCAGCTAAAGAGGTTAGAGTTCAAGAGATGCTAAAAGATCCTTTCAGACAGAGCAGTTTGGGAGATTTTGTTTGATTCCAAAATGTTCATAATACCACAGGCTGCTAAAAGGATATGGGATGTTTCATGTCAGCAGAAGTATGTCCCTCAGAAATCTGAGTTACTAGAAAAAGAAAAACAAGGAAAGAACTTCAGATGCCTTTGCCCAACATAAGTTTTTTCATTCCCAGTATCAACAAATACCCCAATATAAAGAATTTCTGGCCCATTGCCTGGTTATTTCCCCATCTCCCCCCATTCCTGTTTCAGTAGGGTTGATTCTTCACTTCTCAAGCTTAACCAGGGACAATGACAAGAAGATAAGAAATGTGCAGTATGGAATGTCACTCACTTCTGAGGGTTGCTTTCAGCTCAAGGAATAGGGCAGAATGGTGAGAGATGCTTTGAAGCAAACAGGGCTTTTTTTTTTTACTCCAGTAGGCCACGAATCCACTCATTAATTGATTTTTCTTTCAAGAAAGGACAATCTCCTCTAAAGAGAAGGATCCTATTAGAAACAGTGGAAATTTAAAATAATTAAAAGCAAGAAGGTACCTCACTGTATTCATGAACATGTTAAAGAGTCCTTGTGCAAAGTCCAATTGTTTGGTTTTACAAAGCAAGAAAAGAAATACAGATATTCCATGTTTATTTACCTTTTTGTGACAATGGATTTGGTATTAATACCCAACAGAGAAGATGATCTATAAGAGGTAATACTTCCCTAGGATTCTTCTTCTCAGAATAAATTTTAGCCAGAAGAGAAGAGAAATAGAAGCAGAGTCACAGATGGAGGATTGCATTTTTCAGAGTCATTGGTCCAAGCTGATTTGGAGTCAATTATTTTGTTATGTTGAGGCTCTGGACAGAATTCAGATCTGAGAAAAACATGCTTATCCCACATTCCCTATCTTACTGATTGCTGGAAAAAGATTCAGAGTGGAAATAGCATGGCCTAATAAAATCCTGAATGGAATAAGGGGAAGGACAATATCTAGTAGAACTGAAAAACATCTGTGAAAATTAAGGCAATGTCTGGGGCATGTTTAAACAGTGTTTGGCCCTAATGCACAGATAAGTAATCAGTGAAATAAACTAGAACTTAGTCACAAGTAATTACAGAAATGTTTAACACGCAGCACAATCTTCTTTTGAGCTTCAGCTGCTGTTAACTGCTGAAGAAATTTGAGAAGTTGCCTTTATTTTGGCTTTTGGAGGTTTTTTGGGGTTTTTTGCCACAGCAGGTACCTTCTCAGAATTACTTGGAAAGACAGCTTTTCCACAAATCACTGGACAGTCATGCCAATGGTCCTCTGGGACTACAGAAATCAAACACCTAACCTGTCACATTCCATTCGAATTTTGTTCTAAAATTTCACACCTATGGACCTCTCTAAAACTACCTTCAAACCATCACAGGTCCACACAGTGTGAAGCAGTCACATTTCCCTAACATAAACTAACAATCACCTAAGAAAACATCATGAACAATGAGAACAGAAATGGTATTCCTGGCATTCCTACTTGGAGCATCAGGACTTTATGTGCCCAGTGTCCCAAACTTGTCTTCTTCTGCTGTCAGATATTCAGAATACAATATAACACTACCTTGTAATAACACTATTTAAGGCAATTCTGTTTGATGAGCTTCTTTCATTCAAACTAAATTAATTGGACATCAAAGCTTACAATGCAATATTTTCCATTTGGAAAGACTTCCTGCTTTTTTTGTGTGTGTGTGTTTCCTATCCACAGTTTGAAATCAGCTTTCTTGAACATCTCAGGTCTGCAGACAATTCAATAAGTGAAAAGAGTTACAGTAGTTGCATTGTTATAGTTTTACTGTCTGCAACCAAAAAATTTTTTTAATTACTTTTGTGAAATTTTAACTTTTTAAAGATGTAATAAGAACTATTATAAGTACTTAATTTGAATGAATGGCTGCAGAAGAATCCTGGGTTAGCAGGGAGCAGTGCAAGTAAATGCTCCCACACCTGGTTCAGTCTTCCTCCCTACTCACCTTCTCACTGCTGCTTGTCTAAGACAACAACAACAGTAAATAACTTTCCAAAATCAGCTTCCCTGCTTGCCTGAGTTGAAGAAAACTGGTCCTTACAAGAAAAACACAATGCAACACATATCAGTAACCCACAAGTTTCTGCAGAAGTTCAGGGAGAAGGGGAAGGAGCACCTGGGAAATGTTGGATGGGCTGATGCCCTTCTTTATGAGGGTGACTCACACCTATGGAAAGTTCTATATACCCTCATCAAAATCATTCTCTTAAGAAGTACAGACAAATGGAGCTTCAGATGGCTTCCTCAGTGCCTTGAAAAGCACTTTTCCTACATTACTGTTCATTTAAGTGCATCCAGACATGCTGATAACAAATACATTGTGTACATGTTTCAAATAAATGACACAGCCAGACCATACATAGCTGGACAATATATCTGTCTTAAGAAGCACTTGGTAAACTGCTGCTTTCCCAGGGCATTTGATTGTTACAGACATGCTCCCTGCTTTCTGAAATATTAATAAAGGCCACAATTGATATTAAAATGGAACACTACTTGCTTTCTATAGCTGTCCCTGTCAACACTAGTGGTTTTAACATTATAACAAAACTCTTTTATCACTGAGGTAAATACCTTTCTAATTACATATGCCAGGATTTCCCTATTAAAACACATAGTTTAGGATGATTTCTGTTTGCAGGGGTGCCTGAAAATAACCTCTCCTTTTTTTTTTTTTTTCTTTCCTTTGGTGGAATGGGATGCTCTTTGCTAACAATTCGTGAGAGAGCAGCAATTACTACCTATAGGGCTTTTTGTTCTCCCTAACCCAAAATATCTCTCTTCTGATGCATCACAGATAAACTACTGCTGAGAATCTATTTAAGTATGATTTAAAAAAGGAACTGTAAAAGGAAAAACTGGGTAAACATGGCAGATTGTGCATTTATGGTATTTATAAGATGATCTTATCCTCACTGCAATACAGCCATTACATGGATTATGCCTGAAGTGAGGCAACAGGGTCTGTTTCAGAACTGCATTATCTAAAGTACCATAAGGCATTTTCCTCCTTTTACAGCTGGTGATGAAAATGGCTGAAATTAATTTTTCTCTACACATACACCCAGATAATGTGTCATTTATCTGCATGTACTCTAATATTCCAAGAAGATGGTAACTGCAGTCTAATATATGATGATGTTTTAATCTACATTAAATATTTTAATAAACCCACCATCTTAAACGGATCTGTGGGACAGACAAATCAGCATTTAATCACACAGTAACCCAACAAGGCATTCTTAAAACACACAGATAGAAAGAAAGGGCTAAGATTTAACCAAGTATGCTTTATATATTAAAAATATACAAATTAAAAGCTGATTTGGATATTAAAAATACCAAAATTAAAAACTAAAATACAAAGCTGGGGTATAATACACAACTTCCAACTGCATCAGAGACAGAAAAAATTACTAAAAGATAAGCATGAAAATAAATAAAACAAATTATTCTAAATATCTGGCATATTGACACTATTGATTTTTTTCATATGTTTATATTTTAAACTATTTCAATAGCAGCTAAGAGTATGTATATTTCTAGCACTGAAATTAAATTTTATGGCTATATATTAAAAATGTGAGATCAAATGTAAAACTTTTGTGTATTACAGCCCTTGGTGAACAATCAGGTTCATAATATGGCCCACTGGTTCTGGGCATTTTATGTTCTATAATGTTGAGACACGGGAGTAAGGAATAGATATTCACAGCACTTCAACATGGTCTCCAAAACTGTAAGAAAGCCATTCCAGCACACACCATATCATGCTTTAGAATGTCTTAACTCCTGTGAAAACTCTCAAGTCATGAAAGCATTTTACAGTAAGTCTTAGATGAAGAGAGGGAGAAAAGAACAATTAGATGAAATTGTTCAGCACATGGAATGCATTCTGGCTCCTTCCTGAATTTACCTCTGCAGTTCTTCCTGGGTTACCTGAGCCACATAACTCAGCCATTATCATGTTGTAGAGATAGGAAAACAAACTGAATAGAGGTGCTGATTGAAGCAGCATATCCAGAGAGAGATTACCACATAGGAAAAAAAAAAAACAACACAAAAAAACCCCCAAAAAAACCAAAAAAAAAACCAAAAAAAAAACACACAAAAAAAACCAAAACCAAAAAAACCCCAAACACTATTGCCCTCTTTTATTAAAAATACAGTCTAAAAACCTCCTTAGTGGAAAATCGTTATTTTTCATGGGCAGAGGAAAAAAGTAACTATAAACAGAACTCCTCAACTTTGTGAGCTGATGTTTTGTTTTCTGGAATGTTCACTTGGCAGTGGATTTAAGTCAGCCCTCATTATCAGATGGCCTGTGAGTCACGATGTGCAGCATGCAGGGCAGCACAGCAATAGGTTCAAAACAAACAACAATACAACAATAATGGCACCAAGAGAAAAAAAACCAAATACACAGCATTACAATAGCATGCAGTACACAGCCTGAGGAGGAGAGCTAAAACTAAAATGGATTGAGAGACCAGTATTTTCATACCCATGAGTTGCTCCACTTTCTGTTATACTGCTTCTATAGATAAAATAACCTTCAGTATAATACAATTGATACACTGCAGAAAAACCAATATATTTGTAAATATTTGCAGAAATGGAAGATTCATGTTGAGGTGAGAACATAATAATTTAAACTGAGTCAGTTGGAGGTCAGGCAGAGGTAATCAAGTAGGAGGATGATGCTACATTCCCCTTCTATTGCACAAAGTCCACACTGCTCTAGCATTTTCACCTGATGGACCAAGGCATTCTCTCACTCTAATAAAGTACCCTTATTGTGCTTTCTCTTCATGGCTGAAAAAGAAAACTCCAACTTCTTCAAATTGTTTCAGGATGATTAAGACCCTGAAAACCAGAAACAAGACTAGAATGTAAAACATCACTAGAAATGCAATAGGTGTTGACATTACTGATGGTCGACAACTTCAGCCTTCAGGAACTGGGAAACCCCAACTCATCTAAAAACCCCTCTTCTCACAAAGGCCACAGCAAAATTATCAAAAGAAACTCACACACAATCTATGATGCTTTCCCTGCTGACAAAGTAGATGATAATTTATTTTGAAGAGGGACAACTGCATTCAGAGCTAAACCTTCTGTATTGCAGAAAAGTATGGAGAGGGGGCAAGAGAGTCAAGGGAATCTGTTCTTTTCCTTTTGTACTCTAAGTTTTGTAGACTAAGAATAACCAAGGGGAAAGGACAATAACTTGCCAATGAATTTACTGCTCATTAGCTGGGGATTTTAGAGATTCCTATATATTATTCCCTCAAGAATACAGGCTTACATACACAGCCCAAAATATCTGCAGTCTCAGCCTCACAAAAGATGAAGAAGTCACCTAATCATATCTGCAAAGAACAAGTGTCCTTGCCATATA